CTGTATAAGCCTTAGGAGTAGTGGTAGGTGGGTAGTGAAGGTGAATTGAAAGATGATGAATTTTATTTTTATTATTTTTTGTTGTTCTATCTCTCCACCGAGAGAGGTAGGCTCCCTTCACCGAAGAGAGGTAGAAAGCAATGCTTGGAGGGGTCCCCTGTATACCTTTAGACGGAGTAGTGGTAGGTAGGTTGTGAAAGAAAGGTATGTTCCATGATGAACGCTTTGAGAGAAGAATGTAGCGTAGTTTTTCAAAAAAAAAAAAAAAAAAAGGAAGGAAGAGACTGAGCCGCGCACACAGAATAGAAGTCAAAAATAGCACTATGTAATTGCTTCTACTAGGCAGGCAGAGAGTGCCCTAGACCGGTTGGCAAGGCACGCAAGTGGCATTCAGGAGGTCCTGGGTTCAATCCCCATATGTACCTTCCTGGGCGGGCAAGCTTGGCGTCCCGCCGTCCACCATCTAGAGATAGGCCGCGGCATTCCGCAGAGACTGCTGATGTTGGTAGGGGTAGAGGACGGGAGGGAGGCATAGCCACTGGACCAATGACGAAGCTCGGTACTGATGCTACCATCAGGCTGACCCCTGGCCGGTATCGCCGACCTGCTGAAGCAGGTATCGCACCTGGTGGTGGGCGCAGCAGCTCCCGCATGTTCCGTCGTTGAATACGGTGGTGGCTGCTACGGGGTTCCCCATAATACCATAATGATCAGGATTGCCGCCGCCCCGAACGTTGAGGGGCCCAGGCCGGGGTCCAGGCTGACCTCCGAACGTTTAGGGGCCCAGGCTGACCTCCGAACGTTTGGGCATTCGGGGACCTGTTCGGGGCCTGTCCCCGCAGGTGTTGGGGCCCCAGCAAACCCCTTTTGGGGGCCATTTTTTTTTTTTCTTTTTGAAAAAATATTAACATATTCTTCAGGATACAAAGGTCCTTCCTCTAAATTTTCAGATTATTTCGTTGATTTAAAAAATAAAGGGATAATTTGCAAAATACCCCCATAAGTTGACGTATATGCCAAAATGCCCCTGAAAGATGTGGGTAGAGCGGAATGCCCTTTTGGCGAAATCTTTTCTGTTATGCCCCTGTCAGGCGGGTGTGCAACTTTGCAATCTGGTCCTTCACGTTTGGGCCTTGGCCTTTTGCAATAGCGCCTACGAGAAGCTGGCAAGTACTGGGGCATTTTGGAAAGTTCGACAGTATCCGGTAGGAGTATATTGCAAAGATGGGGGTCCAACCGACGCCAGGGGTATTTCACAAAATATATTTTTTTGTCAGAGGGGCATTCGGCTCCGCCCACATCTTTTAGGGGCATTTTGGCATATATCTTAACTTCTGGAGATATTTTGCAAATTATCCCAAAAATAAAAGAAAAATCATCAAAGTAGGAGTCGTCGCATAAACTGGGTTGACGTTGTCAATGAATCAATCAATCAATGATGCCAATGACTACCGTCTTCCCCCGAACATAACGCACCCTGTATACAAGCTATATTTGCAGCCAGATACAGGCAAAATAAGGGTGCGTTGTGTTCGGGGGCAGACGGTCGTAGGGTAGTTTCAAGCTTTTTTACTTTCAAATTAACTGACTATATTATTTTTTACTATATTTGCATCTGCATTTCATTAGTTTGAATGTAGCTTTTTTTTTTTTTTTTTTTTGGAAAAAAATCCTTTTTCATTTAGTTGAAATTTGAAAAAAAAAAAAAAACTTTTTTATCCAGTTTCTTTTATGGGTGTGTTTGATGTCTAGCAGATACAAACGTACTCATAAGTTTTTGAATTGTTTTCCCAATAAAATTTCCTAAATTTTCCTTCCAACTACATGCCACTAATACCTACTAGGCTACTACCTTCTTCCCCCCGAGCATAACGCAGATGTGTTATCAACGAATACAACGCATAGGGTACGTTCTATTCGAATACAACGCAGGGGCCATTTTGCTAATTTACCCTTCTCTGTGTCGTTCCAATTTTAACAGATGTCCCGAAGGTCAACGCATATGCGTTATGTTCAGGGGAAGAAGGTAGTTTCTCTGTCATAACAATTGCAGTGTTCATTTGGTGCACATTTCAAATGAAATTATGAATCCAGGCATCACCTAAAAGATGATACCTTGAAATGCAGGTCTCTTGCATTGCATACACGCCTCGGAGAATAGTGTACATTCATTCGGTCAAGCTATGGGGCTGAGGGACCGTGGACACACGGGACCACCACCGTGGACTTCCCCACGATTAGAAAAGCAGGAACTTGTCCACAACTGACTGCGATTTCAACGAGTGACGTCGAGTGTTCGTTGGGAGGTGCAAGACAGTCCTTCTGATGCTGCATGGGACCGTGGACACACGGGACCAC